AGAAAAAGAAAACTGAACTTGCGACTAAAAGTAGCTCCTTTTAAACTCTCAAGGTCTCGTTCAACGTGATACGACGAGACCAGAGCGTCTATAAAAATCGTCAATCCTTTGGCCCTGGTTCGGCCCGGGAGAAAATTATTATTTTAGACGCCGACAAGGCACATACTTCCCCCTCCCAACCTACCCTCGGTGAGTACAATATATTGTTCGTTCTTTTTTTTTTTTTTTTTAGTCAATACACCATGCCAGTTTCCTCCGATATGAATACAGAAAACAATAGACTTTTATATGTAATAAAATATAATACATGCCACATATAGTTTCCTCTTTTGAAAGATATTTTATTAAGTACCTCCGTGAGATCGCTATAAAAAAAAGAGCATACCATGATGAAAAAGACGCCAAACTTGACGAAAACAAAATTTTATCGTCGAAATGTTTTTTATTAAGAGGACATTATTATAAATGTTTACTTTTTTAAAAGTCATAGCAGAAATATTTTTTAGATTACCCCCCCCCACTAATTTTATGAAAACTTTAGAAATTCGATCGAGTCCACTTCAGTAATTACAATAGTTAAAAGCACAAGGCTTTGAGGAATGCAAATCGTGTTTTTTTTTGTTTGTTTTTTTGTTGTTTTTTTTTAATTAGAAAATCTTAACCTGAAAATCAGCTCTGAATTGTAACATACAAATAAAAACAGTTATTTAATTTCAAATGCTTTTATTTGCTTTTATGAATATAGACAATATTTTCTGAAAGCAAAAGGTTTTTCGATGAAAAATGAATTTTTAATACAATTATGTTATTTCTTTAATTATAATAGATTTTTACATTTAAGTTTTAAAATATAAAATTAGTTAAAGTAAGTGTCCTTATGAGATGGATCTTTTTTAGCGCGTTGTAAATTGTATCGTTTTTGACTAATCAGAAGAATATCTGGTTTTTATATAAAAAGCAGCAACTATTACCAAAGGGAATTAATCCTTTTTGTGTTTTAAAAGCAAGGGACCACCTTTAAAGGCTCCAAATGTTGAATCACGTCGATTCCCAGCAACCCGTCGATAGTAATTAAGTCGCCCGTGGTACTAAATTCCGCAACCAGCTTGCGTTTCTTAAGAATCTGAATAAGTCCTTCAAGGTTATAAGACAGGTTCAGTTTAGTTGAAAGAATCTGGATAGTATAAGCTTTGTCAGAAAAAGATTCAGTTTCAAAGGAATTTCTTTAAAGGATTTGATATTCGTGCCTAAAAAGGTTTTCACTTCCATAATCCTGTCTTTTGTTAAGGAAAGGCAATTCAACTTTTTTAGAACTAAAGTGTCTAAATAAGTTCTCTGACTGCCGATGTCCAACAAGCAGTTCCCCTTTACTGCCTTATCTTCTCCTCCCACTGTTATGCTAATTATGGTAGACAGGAAAGCACAACTATATTCGTTTGTATGTAAACAGCTATCAACCTGTACACTACTTGTGATGGTTAGGCACGTAGCTGTTAGGTGTCCTTTGGAGTTGCAGCTATGACAGTCAATTTTCTTGATATCTTCAGCGGGCACCTATTTCCCATGTGAGACTTTTTCAAGCACCGATAGCAGAGACGCAGTTCTCTACAACTAGTTATCCTGGCTTCATGGGAGGTGTAACGGCGACAGTCCTCAGAGAAATGTCCATCCGCGTTGCAAAATTCACATTTCTTTGTCTCCGGTCTCACCTCTGTGCTGAAGGTTTTAAAAGAAGCGGAGTCACTCGTAATCCCTGCTTTAAACTAAAGTTGAGGTCGAGTTTTTGGCCGCAGGTATCTTTTTTGGTTTCCTGGCTATCAAGAGTCGTTTCACTATTCCTGGGGTTTCCTTTAATATTGTTGATAATGTTGGGTAGGTACTCCCAGAAATCCGCATCAGCTCTCCATTTCCGCAGGGAATTTGGCGAACAATATCTGCGAAATTATTATGGCACCGGCTGACTCATCCTCATATAAGTCACAATTATATGAGGCCCTGAGTTGCCAAACATCTGCCTGAGTTTTTATAATAAAATTCTTCAATCCCTCCAGGTCCCTGGGATTGTCCAACTGAAAATCCAATATTTCTTGGATAATCTCTCCTCTTATTTCCCCCTCGTCCAAATATTGGTCCTTCAAAAGCTTCAGGGCCATTGGGTAACTATCTTCAGAGGGAGAAAGATGATCTATCAGTTGAAGGGCTCTACCTTCCAAGGAAACTCTCAAGAAATAGTTTTTCGGTGTCCGATTTCATCGACGCCGCACAATTTTCGAACTTTGTCAAGAAATCTTTGAAACTCCTTTTACTGGTTTCAAAGTTTTTTTTCCATCAAAGTGTGGACCCTTCAACCTTATTTTGAAAGGCTCCACTGAAAAGTATGAGTGGGCTGTTGGTTTGGAGGGAGGCAGTCTACCAGTGTCTGGAGTAACGGGGTTTTCTCGACTTGGAGGGGGGGTCGATATTTCTTTCTACTGCGGGGACCATCGGGACCTCACTTGGGTTGGCCTTCTGTAGAAGATCTAGACGTCGGCGCACGTCATACTTAAAGCGGAAAGAACCTTGACAAAATCTCGCAAGAATTCCGCGTCTTTCTCTGCAGCCAGCTACTCTTCCATGCCAAAAGAAACTCCTTCAAGTTCCTCCAGCCAGCCTTCTATTTCTCCCTTGAAAGAAGAGAACACCTCTGTAGAAACACTTTCTTCCTTCTCTAGTCCGTCAAGAGTAATAGTAATGATTCTTTGAAGTACGTTTTGCCTTCGTTTGAGGTCTTCCAGTGAGACTGAGTCCTCCATGCCGTTGGGATAGGAAAAAAAAGCCAACTCTTCAGTTAATTCTGGGTTGAACAACACTTTTCGTTGCAATCGCAACAACAGCCCCGGACTCTTGTTGGGCCTAAGGAACATTTTGGGTGTGATAGCCGCAGCATTATCATCAACAGACACCTGATAGGTCAGAGGTCGGTTTTTGACCGATCTCTGGATATCAAAGACCACTGTCAGAAGGGTAAAATAATCCAGTTTACCTCTGCCAAGAATCTTAAAAAGGCAATCCTTCACCGTTTTAATGCAACGCTCCCATGTTCCCCCATACCAAGGTGAAAACAGAGGGATGGTTTTTAGTTTTAACCCGCGGGAACCATACTTGCTTTTATATTCTTGGAAGAGAGACAGGCGACTAAAAAGTCTTCCACTTCCCAGAAAGGTCTTAGCATTGTCACTATAGATTACTTCCGGAACTCCATTTTGGTTGGTGAAGCGAACTAGGGATTGAAAAAGGGATAGAAAACTCATGTCTGGAACCACCTCAATATGTATTGTTCTGATATTCAAGCACGTGAACAAGAACATCTTCTTGTCCTGCTTACCATCATTCACCCAGAAATGACCGGTGAAGTCGACGCCTGTACGTCCTGGGTATGACGTTAAACTGCATCCAACAGCAAGGCCTCTGATCAGGAGGTTTTGAGGAGCGTGGAACCACCTCTTAATTGCTGGTGTTCCCAGGTCCACCTTGACTCGGGGTGGTAGCACCTGTTAGGGTCCCAGCTATGGGTAAATAGTGAACTAGTTTTTTCAGCTCTCACCCACGTCCTGGGTATGGCGATAAACTACACCCGCGTCTTGGGTATGGCGATAAACTACATCCGCGTCTAAGGTACGCATTGAAAGTCACCATACCTTTCCCAAGTGTATGTGCACATAAGTGAATGTATATTTTACATTGAGTATTTTTGTTTTGTGACAAGAGTTCGAGGAGTTAGGTATGAAAAATCCTGGTCCCATAAGTGTTCATACATTTTCATACACATTTCATGTGCTAAATGTCACAATAATTATGGAACAGAGGAAAGAATAATAAATTATGTAATTTATGATTTTTGCCGTGCCTTTAAAATCCAGTAAATTTAAAAATAAGTTACTCCAAAATTCACTTGAAGATGAAATGGAACTAATGTCTTTAATTAGTCTGGTCACTGGGTGGTATTTCCCTATCAGGATAGGGTTCTTGATTTCATAAGTAAGATATGAAGATCGGTCGATTCTTCCTCTTGATCTGATCAACCCATCCGAGTCCAAAAAAAGATCCAAGGCACGAACTCTAACGAGTTCAGATTTTCCTGCCGGCTTCATTATATACTCAACCTCTGAAGGGAATTCATGTCCTTGGAGAACTCATCAGGTAAATGGCCGCCTTAGATCTGTAGTCCCATTCCCGTCCTAGTCGAATGGCTATAAACTTGAGCACCAGTGAGGTAACTCTCAGTAACCCAGAAAATGTTGAGAACCTGTGAAAGGATATGACGGAGAAGTATTTTTGGTCAAGAACCATAGAACAGTTCACTGAAGTACGGGCCATCTGCTGGCACGTCTCGCTTAAACAAGTTCAATCCTGTGTCGGCCACTGGATGATCCCCCTCGCATAACCAGGAAGGACCAGAACACCAAAATTGGAAGTAGGAACGAAACTTCCTCAACGTCATTCCCCTTGTGATCAGGTCGGCCGGATTATGTGCTGAATCCACATATTTGAAGAGTCTTCAGGCCGTAGTGGGACTCCAACCCAATGTCCATTTGCAGGACGTCCTCGAGTCAGTTTCTAGCAAAAATGTTTTTGCTGGCCATGGATTGCGACAAGAGCCAAGCCAACACTACTTGGGCATCAGTAGCCACACATAGGTTACTAACAAACCCTTCACAGTTGTCCAGGATTGTAGGTAGGCACTTGAAAGCGAGGTAAACAGCCATTAACTCCAAAACAGGAAGTGTTTTGTCTTTCATCGGAGCGACCTTAGCCTTAGCAAACACCAAGAACGATCGATGATTTTGCACAATGTAAGCGGCAAATCCATATGCCTCCGTGGAAGCGTCGCAAAAGAGGTACATATCTCCAGGCTGTCTCGCATCGAGAGCCTTTCGATAAATATGGAAGTCACTCAGTCCAGACAGGTCCCCAGCAAGCTCCCTCCAATCACTAAAAACCGCAGTAGGGAGAGGATCATCCTAACCCAAACCATTCTTCCACACAGACCTAATAAGTATTTGGCTGCGTACCGTAACTGGGAGACAAAAAGATAAGGGGTCAAAAATTTTGGCCGCCTCAGAAAGCATTCCCCTCTTTGTTGACGCATCGGGATCGCACTTGACGCGGCCCACGTGCATCTCTTCTGAAAGAGGGTTGTATCGGTAACCACCCAGTACCTTCTCCCATTCTTCATCATGTGCACTCAGTGAACCATCTTCTTTCATCCTGGTTCGGAGAGCCTCATCGTTGGAGTTGCAGGACTGAATAACAAAGCCGCCTTCCTGCAAACGTTCCCGTGCCAGGGAGTACAATTTTGCCAGCTTCACCGGGTCTGCTTCCGATGTTACAAAATTGTCCACATAAAATCTGTCCTCAATCATCCTGCGGCAAGCGTCTAGTGTGTATTTTGCTGCATGTGGTTTCAAAATACACCCCAGTACAAAAGGGCTTGAGGTGAACCCGAATATCAAGATGGCATATCGAAAACAGCAAAAACGATCCCAATCATTAAGGAAGAAACAGAACCGGTTTTTGTCAGCCTCCAACTTGAGAAGAATCATCAAGAATGCCTTCCAAATGTCTGCTAGCAGGACGTAATTGTTAGTTCTGAAAGAATAATAATTTCAAAATATCTCCAGTTAGATTGACCCCAGAGTAAGCTGCCTCGCTCAGGGACAATCCACCACCAGTCTTCAGACTGCAATTGAACACAGGTCTGATTTTGGTAGTGGCTGTTGGGTCAAACCTGAAAACCGGTCGATGTGGAATCCACACATATTTATCAAATTCGTTGGAGGAGGCGGACAAAAATCTCTTCAATTATTCCATCCTGTTCAGAATGCCAGGGGAGCTCCACGTAATACTTTCCATCCTTGAGCTCTACAGTATCCTTAAAACGTCTCATCTGTTCTTGATCGTAATCAGGGAAGGTATCCTCGTCAGATATTCCTAGGGACTCCATGCTAAACATCTGTTCCAATCCTCTTTGAACTGCACTGTCAGGAAAAAAACTCTGCCAAGGGGTCAAGGTATGTTGGTTGGTTTTCAAGAACGAAGCACAAATGTGAGGAATTCACTTCGGGGGTATCCTCCATTACAGTATTAAAGGAGAGGTGGGCCACTTCACAAGGGATCTTGTCTCCTGACAAAAAGTAGTCCACAGCTCCAAAAGGAACCAGACCTGACGGAACAGAAAAGGCCCAACCCCTCAGACAGGGGACCAACTTCAAGGTATACAATCGATGAATAAGGTCCAATCCAATAATGCCCTTGATAAGTACAAGGTCTGACCCAGCCTCAAATTGGCCAGCCAAACTATAGTTAGCTGCCCTAAAGGCACCCAACAGGGTCTCCAAGTGAGCCAGTCGTACAGACAAATCCATTGCATCAGTGACCAAAACAGAGGAAGTCAAAGCCTCACCAGAACCAAGATCAACCCCCAGAACTACCTCTGTGAATTTCCGGTCACACTCACCAAGGAGGGTGAAAAGTCTAAGCCGACAACTGACTCCAACAGTCTCAATTGAAACCAAGCCCCTCAGCAGACAAGTATGACCGCCCACTACCAGTGTCCAAAAGGCAATTAACTGCCACCGGTTTTTTCTCCACGGAAGAAAGTAACCAATAAGATGGAGGGCAAGCTACGGGAATAACCAGCAGATGTCAGGTTGTTGGAATCCACATGAAAGGAAGAAGTAACAGTGGCTCTACGTGCGGTTTTTTGATAAGAACCCTGGCCAGTGGTGAATGTAGAAGCAGCAGACGCTCCTCCCTTAACCCGTAATCGTTTGACTGCCTTATTTGTAAGTTCCAATATGGCAGACAATGATGGTATTCCTTTACCTGTTAGTCCTATCATTCCCTCCTTCAATTCTTTGGAAATTTTCTGGAAGACAATCTTGGCCATTAGGCGAGCTTCACCAGAATCGTCCGCTGAAAAGCCGCAAGAAAAGAAGTTCCCAAGCTCCTCCAGGAGAGAGGCAGTCCTGGAGATGAATTCACCCAGATCGGAACAGCAGGTGTCCCTTTTAGGGACATAGTCTAGGATGTACTGAAATATTTGGTCCATAATCTCATCAATGTCCAAATACTCCCTCTTTAACACCGAAAGAGCACGCCGATAGTTGGCATCCGTGCAACTCAAATGGTTAATCAGTCTTAAAGCTCTGTCGGAGAGGGAGCATTTCAGTGTCATTGGCCATGCCAACCAACAGTTTTCGAATCTCGTCAAAAACTTCCGCGAACTCATGTGGTCGTCAGCCATTTCAAGTCCACTAAAGGTGGGCCTCGTTATTTGTATTTTCGGAGGTTTGACAACAAAGGAAGCCGAAGGACTGGGAAACAGGATCCAAGTAGGAACTGGGAGTTGGTAAAGAAAATGAACCATCCAGATCGTCCAGTTCTCAGTGGTACTCCATGAGTCGAGGCGCCCATTCAGCTTCGGTCTCAAGCAAGTCTGTCTCTGGGAAGGATCCCAGCTCTAATTTTGTGATACAAGTCTCCATTTCGAAGATGTATTGCAGAATATCCTTTCGGAAAACAGAAAAACATGAGGCGTTACTCTGTCTCCGCGACACAACTTCAGTCGTTCCTCGACTTTGATTTTAAGAACAGTCAACCTGTTAAGGAGCTGTTATATAGTAACATCCATCTTTTAAAAAATGTCGATAACAAAAAAAAAAGCAATTTTCTGTAGAAGTTCCTTTCGCAATATGTCGAAAAAAAAAAAAACTTTCGACGCAGTAAAGGGGGGGGCAGAAGAGTGCAGCAACAGCCTGGTAAGGGTTGCAAAAGGAGGAGTCCTCTTGCGACCCGCTCCAACTAGGTCTAGTAACTGAGAAGAAAAAAAAGTAATAATCTTTCAGAACGACAATTAACCAGTCACGCGTCGGCTGGTAAAAAAAAAGTTTGAGAATACAGTGGACGATTTTTATAAGGAGGCTAACCGCTTCCCACAATCTTCCTCCTACCAAGACCATAACTATCAATTGGTCACTTGCTGCCAGTTTAGCTGGGCACAATTCCCCCGAGGCTGAAGCAACCCGTCCGTAAGTACCCCCCTCTCACTTCCTCTTTCCTTTTCTTCACAGAATCGCAGTAATTAAGAAGTGTAATTTCGTGTTTATAATCGGGTTGTAATTATAAAGTACGGAAGACCAACAAGAATACAATTAAGTTGCGTTATTTGAGTTAAGCATTGTTCTTCGCTGTTAAGGTCTTTACTTAAGTTTTAATACAGATTTCAGTGATTGCGAGTTCCTCTTGGTAATATGGGTAGGACTTGCTTAAAGTCTCCCCCACTCTCAAGAGCACAACTTTACCACCAAAAAACGGCAACAGTACCAGTGATATCTCACAAGGCTTTATGGATAGAATGAAGAGCAAATGAAGAATCATAGAAGCCTCATCCAAGATTATCAAATCCAGGTTTCGTAAATAATTTGCATGGTCTGAAGTAGCTGGCCTCCGTGAGTGGGACAGGTAATTTAAATAAACTATGGATAGTCTTTTCACCTGACAGTAGTGTAGAGGCAATGCCTGTCTAAGCACCACTGCACACGTTGCTCTTTTTGCATCTACATAGAGGCAGGAATGGTTGGGCACCTCACCTTTCCTCTTATCTACAGATTCAAGCACAGTATTTGCAGTCACACTGTTCATCATTAAATGTTGCAATGCATGGGTGATCGAGGTGTTCATGGTGGTCAAGCTGAAGTACTCCAATAGATCCAGACAGCCCAATTGCTAAACAATTAATGTCATTCTCTATCAGAATTGCATCAATAGAGTGCAGTGCCATGTTTTCTGCGTGGTCTGCATTAAAACCTTGTTGCAAGAAATCTTCAATCATGGATTCCTTACGAGTGGTCCACAAGTGAAGAACATTTGCAGAGTTCATATACGTGCACAGGGCAGCAAACATAACACGCAACTGTAAGAACATGTGACAGCCAGCAGTTTCTATCAATGCATGTTCCAATGTATCATCGTTTGAGAGAAGACCACATTCGCAAGTGAAATCTTTCTTTGCCTCTAGTATACATTCTACAGATGGCATTAGTATTCCTTTGCCTTAGTGTCCATGTTTTAGTGTGCTTATTAAACACAATGTAGCAGAATGTCAGAGTATAAGTGGTTCCTTGCATCATCATGCTCATTCAATTTAAACTATGCAGTGAGGGTCCATATGTGTCTGGGCGTTGCCTCTGTAAAAGTTAACTCTTTGCTGGTCTTCAAGATGTACAGCAAGTCTGTAGACATTGTGAGATGTGTCATGTAACTTGAACTCTCCACATTGTTTCTGGGGGAGAAACATATTGGCAAACAATATAATTAGTAATTTCATCGTGAGTTCGATTCTGTTCATAATCTGCTGCTGGGTTGTCTCTTACTTCATCAGAAGCAGTTATGTCCCTTGTACCCGTACTTGAAGATGCATTTAATGCTTTTCACTGATGAACAAATTTTCAAAGCCTGTTGGAACACGATGAAACACAAATAAAATGAAAGAATTGCAGTGCCAAAAGGTTGACTGGGTTTTCCCAGTAAGGGGAAGACAACCCTTAAAACACGTGTCCTTTTAACGATAATGTCATTTAGAGGCAACCATAAAAATTATCTGTGGCCAGTTTAACTTTTTTGAAATTTCATGAAATTAAGTGGGTTGTAACATGCAAAAATATTGTTTACTACAATTTTCTGACGAACAAAGAACGCAAAAATAATTTCATTTCCGAATAAGTCCTGAAAGTTGCTAATTTCAAATGCGAATGAAATAGTTTAAAATAATTAAATTAAACATTAGATTTTAAATTGAACTCAAGTTTATATTCAAACATTTGTTTCAAAACAACTCTAACAAAAAGTAAACTAAAACGTTTAATAGAACTACTAAAATGTAGTATATCATTCATAAATCAAACGCACATAGACAAAAAATCCTGTCCCGTCAACCTCAAACAAAAATGTCTACGTGTACAAAACAATTAAATCCGGAAATTCCAAATCTAAGTACAAAAATCAAAGAAATAGAAACCTCAATACATTATCAAGAGAATCAAAAGATACATAAAAAATAACTCTTCTTTTAGTGAAGAATCAAGAGAAATGAACCTAGAGGAACAATACTTTAGCCCATCACAAACAAGGGAACGGTCATCATTTATACAAAGATCATTAAAAGAACCTAATGGAAGAACAAACCCTATACCGTCAACTGCATACAAAAATGACTCTACATCTACAAAAATATGAAACCTGAAAAATCCAAATGAAAAACAATCCAAGAAATAGAAATGTCGAATCATTCTCAAAAGAATGAAAAGATGCAAAAAATAACTCAACGGTTATTGAAAACCAAGGAAAATGGACATAGAGGAAGAAAACTCTAGCCCATCACAAACAAGGAAAAGATCATCATCTAGACAAAGTTCATTAAAAGAACCGAATGGTAAAACTAAGGGAGCAAAATCAAACAAAAAAGTAGAAACAAAAGAAGTTCAAAGAACAAAACATAAGAAACAAAACGCTAATAGTCTGAAGGATATAAAAATGATGGACACTTCACCCATAAAAAAAAAATTTGGACATGTAAAAGTTCATAATTCGTAATACATAATCAAGATGCAAAACATTATTTAATGGAATTGTAGAGGATTAAATTCTAATATAAACGATCTTCTGCTTACAACAAAATAGAAGCCCACGGTCATTTGCCTACAAGAAAATTTCTTAAAACCAAATGATGAAATAAAAAAAAAAATTACTCTCAATATAATTACATAAATGACACTCAACTCATCTGGAGGTGTATCAATTCTAATAAGAAATGACATCCCTCAAAGCAAAATACCACTGGAAGCCAAGCTTCAAGCAGTAGCTGAAAAAACTACCCTACATAGAACTATAAAGATCTGCTCTATTTACATCCCACCGCATGAGCCTATAGAAGAAACCAACCTAAATAAACTAATAGAACAATTACTATGACCATTTCTATTATTAGGTGACTTTAACTGTCACCATATGGGGTTCTAAGAACACGAACTAAAAGGGGAAAATATGGAAAATGTTATTAACAACAAAAATCTATGTCTACTAAATAAGACATATACATATTTACATCCAGCATTAGGTACATATTCACTGTGACCCCGCTATATTTATGGGTTACAATTGGAAAGTTCTCGATGATTCATGGGGTAGCGATCACTACCCAATAATATTGAATACTTCAGAATGTATGGAAATCCATCTACCCAAATGGAAACTAAACGAAATGGATTGGAAGGAATATAAAAAACAGTATCCTCAAAACTCAGATAAAGAAGACTGGAAAAAATCTATGGAATATTTCGTGAAAACATTAATGGCAATAGTAAGAGAATGCATACCAAAAAGCAATGAATCAAACATCAAAGACCATGGTTGAACAAAGATTGCAAAAAAGCAATAAGACTTCGTAGAAAATTCAATACTCAACCAACAAATCAAAACTTAGATTTATCCAAACATAAAAGAGCAATAGCACGAAGAACCATTAAAAAGGCAAAAAGAAAATCATGGATAGATTATATAAGTAAAATAAACTCAAATACGAAACCAAAAAAAAGTTTGGAATATGATTAGAAAAATAGCTGGTAAAAATCTATCCCCTCTTTTAAATCATCTTTCACAAAATATTAAAATAACACGTAAAAAGGATATAGCAAATTTACTGGCAGAAAATTTCGAAAAACAATTCCTCGAGTGAAAACTATAAGCAACAATTTAAAAAAAAAAATAGACAGGATGCAGAAAAGAAAACAAAAAAGGCATAACTTTAATTCAAATAACAAAGAATATAATCAGTCTTTTACTCTAGAGGAACTCATAAATGCCATAATGGAATCATATAGTACAGCTACTGGGCCAGATGAAATTCATTATGAATTTCTTAAACAACTCCCTCCAAAATCAATAAAATATTTGTTAAATGTATTCAACGAGATATGGTTTAAGGGAAAATTACCTAATAGCTGGAAACAAGATATTGTGATTCCTATACCTAAACCAGATAGATAAATCAGATCCCAAAAAACCTTCGACCTTTAACACTAACAGTACCCTACGATTTTGCTAAACTTTACCAAATATTCCAAAATTCATTCTAACTTATCCAATTATATGGAAGAAATTCATAATGTTCTACAAGCTCACCCAAACCATAAGCATATATACACAGATGGTTCTAAAATGTTGGACAGAGTTGGGTGTTCTGCTATACTTGACAACATAATAATGCAGAAAAGATTGCCCAACAATGTCTCAATCTTCAGGGCAGAAGCCAAAGCCATACATCTGGCTTTAGATATAAAATCTAGTGAGTCAGAAAGATTCATCATCTTT